TGGATGACTGGACGAATGCTACCACATCAATAATAATCCTTTAATGAAGTGGTTCTCTGGACGAATGTCGATTCCTTTTGACACATGTCTTGGAGCGCCATAGCTCAAAAGGTATCATTTCTTTTCTCACACCACCGTCCTTCTCGTCTACCAGGTACACTAACGCCACTGAATGACGAAAGGACGATAGAAGAATTAATATCGTTTCCATAATTCCTGGGAAATCACTAGGCTCTCGGGTGCTACATTCCTCTGAAAACCTTCAGTCGCGGCAGGACTGCGAAATCGAGAGAGAAATTCGCTTCTGTCGAAGACGCGAGCGACCTCCTCCCCTCATCCACAATTTTCTATTTTTTCTGCGATATTGGGCCAGAAACACACCTTGAGCAGCAGCTCGGTTTCGATCTACAATGGAAGCTAACAGAGAGCCCAGTTCTCTCTTGACCTCAGCTTTGAAAGGAGAGAAAGTGAATTCATTGGGGCTCAAATAGGTACTGTAAGGTTTGAAGGAATTTGATGGCATCGGGGAATTAACCTTCGGTGAGCCAGACAGCTGTCCAAGATGACTCTCTGGCACTATCATGGCACTCATTTCATCGAGAAAGTGTCCAAAGATTCCTCAAGTGAGACCTCTCAGGCCACGAGCGGGAGAAATCGCCGGAAAATGGACAATTCTAAATAAAGTCGTTCGTTCTTTCCTTGAGGTGGAAGGAGGTCATTGGGTTCACTGTCTGGTTTCTTCTCCCTCCCTCGCCTGTCTGAACAAGAAGTCCTTGAGGGGGAATGCTCACCCCTGCTCATCCCATCCGTAGAGGAGGCTTTTCCTTCCTTATACATGGGCTCAGAATCAAGTTGGTTTGGTATAATACAGCGTACAGCACCGCACACGTCTGATTGGTCAGGCATGGATGACGTCACATTCGAGAGGAGCTAAGAAAAAGAACTGCAGATGGCGCACCCATAGGAACAGTATAGGCATGCGTGCTGTAATTGGAAGGCTTTGGCCCTAATGCTGAAACCTCCTTTAGTTAACGGTCCTTTAAGAATACATGGAATCCTATGGGAATCCTTGTACTCTTACAAGGACCGTTAACTAAAGGAGGTTTCAGCATTCGGGTCTTACTTGTTGGTATCATGGCGGCTCAGCACCATTCACTTCTATGAGATTTTCCCGATTTTTCAACCAACCGTCTTCAAAATACTAACACGCAGCAAACACCCCACACAGCAGGCGCAATAGGTCTTCAGAGGAACAAATAGGCTCTATTGAGTCGTTTCAAGACTTCCTTCGCTCGTGCATGTGCATCCAATACTTCAGTTTAGGCTAATGACAGTAAAGGGCGATTGGGAATAGGTCTCAGCAGAATGCGGCGATTCGGATGCGAAGTGATTCATAGAGTTGAAAGCGGGCCTATGGTGCGCATTGGCGGAGTAACGGAGCAGGTACCGCGGGTCATTGGAGCAGCCATACTAAATACGGAAGCATGGCCTACAAAGAACCGCTAACACCTCTACTATGCACTTCGTCGTCGCCCTTCGTCTCCATTAGCCTATGTTTGCTTTTGAACGTTCACTCGAAGTTCGTTTGACTTTATGCCTTATGTCTGCTGAAAAATAAGTCGACCATTATGATACAAGGGCGACGTAACTTTATCGCCTTCGTAGGCCCACAATCTCAGCATAGGCAGGCTTATGCTGAAACTTGCGGCCCGCTCAAAAAATTGGGGACTCGCACCTATTAGGGAGGGGGGGGGAGGTGACGTCATCCATGCCTGACCAATTAGACCTGTGTCTGTATTATTTCGATGTTAGCCGACCGGAGGCTCCTCCTCAGTCGCGTCCGAGCCCTCGAAGGGACCTGATACTCGCCGTGTCGTCCGTCTCGTCGGTGTCGTGGTGGGGGCAGGCCCGAAATCCCTCAAGTTTCCAGAAGAGATCTCCAGAGTGATGAACTCGATGTTGGTTTTGGATTTCGTCCTTCGGACGATGCACCTCTTCCAGGGACTCACTCTCGTCCCAGATCTTACGAGTCCCACCAACTCCACCTCACTCGTCCAGGTGAAACGCTTGATGGTGATGGTCGCTTGTTCCTTTCAACGTATGCGTGTTGCATTCTCTTGGTGGGATCACCGGCTTGCTCTTATGGAGATCACGTTGCGCGGGTATGTATGACTAGTATAAAAGCCCGTGCGCGCAAGGGCTGAAACGAATTTAATCAGAGCATTTCGTGCATGCCTTTCTGTTCTCTCTTCGTTAGTTTTTGGAAGCGACCTGTTTTTTGTGCACGTCGTCATGCTTCCACTGGCTGTGACTCCAGAATTTCTCTCTTCCTCTCACGTTCAGTAGATCCCGCCGCAGAATAGTTTAAACTTCCCCACCTCCTTCGTGGCGTTTTGATGACACCAAAATTGAAATTAATGATATTAGAGCACTGACTCGATGCTGCAAAGTTACGAGCACTGTCGTAAACCGGCGATGGGACTGGTAACGCGGCAAAATACGACATTGATCATCGCCAGCAGTTACCATAGCAACAACTTCCGTAGTCGACAATGCCTCGTCCTCTCATTGTCGGTTGTGAGCGGACAGCCTGGGAAGTCATTCAGTGAAATGCTACTCTCATCGCCGAAATTATGCCCCATGACGTCAAAATGGCAGGACTTTTTGAACTTTCGACCCAATAGTGATCGCCACCAGGTCATAAGCATTCGAATGACACCCATGGTATCGAACTGCGGCGCACCGAACGAATTCGGAATTCTCAGACGAAGGGCGGGAGGATGGTTCCCGTCTGAGGAGACTCCTGATTTCCCTTTTGTAACAAAATCCTGTGAGTTCCGTCTCGTAGCAAAGGAACTTTCCTCAAATTCACGCAGAGGATAATAATGCGCTCTAACGAGGCGTTTACCACACTTGCACTGATGAAACGAGGCTGTTGTCATCTGAATCTCGCCGGCAGGAACCGGTCTGATGAGTCAATGCTGACGATACCTCGCAGGCATGCACACGACAGATAAAAAAAAAAATCGGAGAGCTGATGGCCCCAAACGGAACCATCCGACACGAAAGGGCAAAAGCGAGACCCGTCGTTTTAATTCCAGAACGACCGAGAAGAACAGGGAAAGGTTTCGAGCTCGGCCGGGCTCGATAGGACCGATCCGACCCGTGTCGTGTAACGAGGCCGACGATCGAGTTTTGGGTCGAGTGCGGGGCATGATGGTATTTGGCATTATTACATGAAAAGGGGACGATATCTTGGACTTATGATGCAAGAAGTATCGTCTCCGGTCATTAGCTTTCGATTGACATTTCACTCGTGAAAATCCGTTCATAAGTCTAGGAGGAGCTTCCCCGGAATGATTAGAAAGGATTATCCTCTTATGCATTATGCGTATGCATATGGATAAGAGTTGGCCACGCATCGAATTCACACAGCCAATCCATTAGAAACCTTTTTTTTTTTAAGGCGTATACCGTAGAGAAATTTTCATGCGTTTCAGATTTCCCGATATAACTCTCTTGCACGGCTTCCCATGCCAAAGGCACGCTTCGCCACCTTGTCCACTTCCACGGCATGCCCATCTGTCTTTCATGTTATTCTGAGAAATTACGCAGGAATTAGTACAGATATTTTCTTACCCCTGGCCAATCCCAGTCAAAAATTCCGGCTGGATCCAGCATGTGTTTTGACTGGAATAAGGTGGAACTAGCTGGTAACAGCTGGTATTCCTCACCAGCTGAGAAGCTGGAATTTGCTGGAATGGGTGCAGAAACTTTCCTGCGTTGCTCAAAGAGAATAAACAAGGAGGGACTCGTGTTTCTTAAAATCCGAAGAGGTAAGCAACTGTTTTGGCGCTAAATTGCAGAAAGAACTGTAAGCGGAATCTTATTTAGGAGCTTTGAAGACCTAGATCTGATCTCTGAAGACCTAGAAATTTGAAGATCTCTGGTGTACCAATTTTGATACACTTGAGTGATGACTTAGCTCATTTCCAAGCCGGATCATGCAGTCTTCCAGCTAAAACCATCTCCAATTCCAGCCGGAAACCAGTTAGGTTTCTATCTGGGAACTATATGGAAAAGGTCCAAATTTGCAGATGGAACCATCTAAAATATCCAGCTGGAACTTAGCTGGATCCAGCTTTCTGATCCAGGCTGGAACCACTAGATGGAATTATTGACTGGGATACGCATTGAATGTGTTTATCCTGTTCAAATCCGCAATAAATATGGTGGCGGCTATGACACCGAGGGTAAAGTATCGCGCTTTCGTCCTATTTCGTCTTTTCCATGTCGATGGTAGGAAACGTTCATTATTTACCAGTGTCACTTTAGTTTTTTTTTCAATGACTCAGGACGATTGAAAGTATGAGGGTGGATCAAAGTGACGACCGATTATTTTTTTATTGCCACCAGTTTCACGCAGTATCAATCCCACGTTCATTTGCCAATACTGATCCCTCTCTTAATGGGAATACCTAGCCTGCAAAGTCTTTTGTCGTGGATAGAACACTTGGGGGGGGGGGGGGGAATTACTTTTCAATCCAACCTCATGAAAAGAAAATATTTAAATGTCTGAGAAAGTAATGAGCCTGTTCCGACTAAGACTGTATTTTCACGAAATAGCCCTGATCCCAGTCAGACCGGAATCAGAATGATTTTGGTTGGCTTCCTCATCTCTGGTGAGCTCCTCTTTTCCTGGCAGCTTCGTACATATTGCACGCATACACGCGCGAATCAGCCAAACTTAATTAAACGTCCTATTTTCTCCGTTCTTTAACTTTTTTTCAGAGCCATTTGGATGTGCGCCTGATTAGTGACGGAAATATTAATGAAGACCGGAAGGTCGAGAAGGGCAGGAACCGGTCAGCATATATTACCTATACTTTTTAAGCATTTTTCAGATTTGGCTTGTTTTGGCGCTTAGAATGTCAAAAACAAGAAAGATCCACTAGCCGTCTCGGCATCCACATCCCTAGTTCTCTCCCAAAGCTCTCAATATTTCACAAGTGGGATGTTGCGTTAGCTATAAATGGCTTGCAAAAGAGAATATTGAGAATATTCATATGGCACTTTTGGAGTACCGGTAACTGAGTGGTAATCCATCGGTAAAATACCGGTAATTGCTTGTAAATCCGGTAAATTATTTGTAAATTACCGGTAAGTAATGGCCTCTACCTTACCGGTAATTTTACAATTACATTTCTACCCATGCCTCACATCCCCCATGCCTCTCCACTTCTAGGAAGAGAAATGCGTGAAGGAAGGGGAACGGGCGTTGGAAAAGCTGCGCTTCAACCTGGAGAGGAATGACTGGAATCTGGAAAAAGATTACGGCGAGGAACTCATCACAGTCAAGTCTGCATACGATCAAGAGACCAAGATAAACATCATGCTTGCCGAGGTTACGTCATGACTGATCTATCCCCTCTCCCACGCCTGTCCAGTGAATGAATTAGACAGATAAAATCCTAATCATGTCCAGTGTATTTATCTATTACGAAGTAACATCATTAGAAGTAACTCGTCGCGATACGTATCCCTGGGAGTGAAAAACTGGGAATCTCAGCCTTCCTCGCATTGACTTCACTGAAAATTAAAATAAAAATAAAATTGCTGACATAGATTAAACTTGGGACATGTCCCGGGAACGAATAATTAAGAAAAATCTCGTTTCCCATCTCCCGCCCAGGCCGTGTTGGACTTCGCAAGCGACTGGGTCTTCGGGGATCTGGTGAACCACACGCTGGAGGCCACGGTCGACTGGAATCAGGACATCAAGGACCACAAGGTCGTCCAGGTTAGATCTTCATGCCCTCGTGATTCCTCGCAGGGACCAGCCCGGTTCCCTCCCTCTCTCTCTCCCTCTCTCTACCCCTCTCTCGTTCGGAGCGTTTCCTCTCGTCGCGCTGTGCAGATGAGGAATGAAATTGCGAAATGGAGGGAACGCTCTGCCACTGCCGACGGAAATGAGATTTCGCCGCAGACAGGGAATGGAGGAAGGATATCATCCCAAGGACGGATGGATGCCGGCAAGAAAGGATTTTGCCCCAAATATTAAATATATTGCTAAGTTACGAATAAAAACATACTAAAGAAAGAAGAAAAGTAGGCCACATAGTTCGTCGGAATACCTCAGATGAATCAGAACGACACATACAAAGCTTAAAAAAAAAAACTCTAAACCGTCTAAAATCTCACAAACCCACGTCCGAGCTCCTCAAAGCATCGAGAACGGCAGTCACCAGCCAACGAGCGCCAGCATCCCCGAGTATTGGCAGTCTCAGCGAGGGGATGCTGGCTTCTCATCTTGCGTATTCGGAGTTGATTTGTGCTTGGGTTGCGTTTGTGAAATGTATCAATTTACCGAGGGGTTTTCAGCTGTGCTAAATTATTATTAACGACGTTGATAATAATTATAATAAAATTAAATTAATAACGAAGTTATTTATTTAAATGTCTGGAAGAAATTCCCAAACGTGCGTCTTCCTTCACTTAGAATGAAAATAAATCAACTTTTAACAATGATGGCAATTAATAGCAAATAAATATCGCACAGCATTAATTAAATTATTAATTTGAGAATAGCTGAAAATCCCTCGGTAAGCTAATTTATGGACTGCCCTGAATTTCATTCCCATTGTGCGCCAAAAGTAAAACAGTAATTTTGCGAGCCCCTTGAAGAAAGCAGACAACGTCACAGTCATAAAAAAAATTGCCGAATCCAAATTGACCAAAACAATGGCGAAGTCACGCTCGAATCGAACTGTGGAAACATTGTGGCCGTGAAAGAATCGGTTCTCGGTCAACAAGAGGAAATTTTGACATTTCTGAATTTCAAAATTTCTGAAGGAGAAAATTATTTGGCGTCAGGTTTAAGCTGTTTTTTTTTTTTAGGTTGGCTCGCATAAATTTGACAGAAATCTTCCTTTTCTAATAAATTGCCGGGCTCTAATGATAAACGTTCAAAGTAATTTCAATACCGCATGATGAAAAATCGACTCATAGAAACCAATTCCTCCGGCCGTGCCATTTTGCCATATTGGCGAAGCAAAAAAAAAAAAGAGTCAAATGTTCCCAGTTCGCGGTGACTTTTTATGCTGTAAAAAGTTGCTGCATTTGAAGCATTGGGTGGAGTTCTTTTCCAACTGCCAGGAATCTTTTCCATTTACAGTGGAGTCATTTCAGTTATTTAAAAAAGTGTCTTATAACAACGAAAATCGAACTTTTCCGTCCCACAGCGGCTGACGGATCGTTGCTGGGTGGCTCACGAAGTGACGAAGCCGAAGCTCGGGGGTCTCTTCTACAGTCGAGACATGGTGCTTCTGAACTACCTCAAGAAGATGCGCGACGGGGGCTTCGTTTCGCTTTCCAGTACCAGCTGGCCTGGACTGGAACCGAGACGGGATATGGTCAGGTGAGGGAGAGCAACGAAAATTCTTTCTCTGAGGACGGAAGGGTCGAGGCTTTTCTCGTATTTTGCAGTAGGTCATGAAATCTCGGCGGAATCGTGAAATTACAGTGTATTCTTTTTTTGAGATGGGCTTTTTCCAAAGATCTCCTCCCAAAGATCGATTGTTGTCATGATTCTTCTTCACCTGCCCGGTCAGAGATGCCAAATGGGGATAATCTCCTTCTTATCTCTACTTTGATCTGTGCAGTGGAAAGAGACGACAAGTATATGTTTAAAGTTACATTTTTTCCGGTTCATTGACGCACCGTGCACCAATAAAAAATATAATTTTCCTTCATGAAGATATAATCCTGATTTTTCTGAGAGGTCTGACCAGATTACGAAAGTAAAAGTTGTCTGATATCTAGTTCACGGCATAATGAAATCGACCGATTGCAGGTGTCAAACTGGTTTACCGACGAGTTCCTCTCAAAATGTAAGGGTCCTTTAGGCCCTTTGAATTGCGCCCCGACGAGCCAGTGTAAGGGGTGGGGGGGGGGGGGGGGGGGGGAATCGGAGAGACCCCTTTCAGATCTAGTCAGAAACGCGTTTTTTTTTTCGTCGGAACTGCCTGGAATGAAGGGCATGCAGTGGAAGTGGACAGGGTTGCGAACCGCGCCTTTGGCATGGGAACCCGTGCAAGGGTTCCGATCGCGATATCTGAAACATGAATATTAATCATGACTCCACCCCATTGACCTATCCTGGGGATCCGAGAAGTGTTATCCATATCGTTAGCAACAGAAATACCGACGCCCATGACCTTACCTTAGTGGTGGACACCATCGTTTGACACGTCAGATGTAAGTCCACCATCATCTGTGAAATCCTCATATTAGCTTTCTCTTTTTTTTTCACACTGCTGGAGCGAATACGTTTCTGGAAAAATGTCCCAGCCAATAATGTGCTCTAAGGGGATGAACCTTGAAAATTTGGAAAATTTTCGGAACGTAACATCCCGACAGCTAATTCTGTGTCAAGTATCACCATCTACCTCTGCCCAATTCTCTGGAGCAAAGTAGAATTCTTGCAATGTCTCCCAATAAAATATGCCTGAAGGTAGAAATATCTGAAGAGCAAAATTTTTCGTGACATCAGGATATCGGTAGCGATTCCTGCTTTCAGCTTTTCATGTCCTTCCGTTTGACTGAAGCCAAAAAAGTTATTTGAAAACGGCCCCCCCGCCAACAAAAAAATTTTCCACCGAGGGATGCATCTTTCAAGTGAAAATTTCCTTGAAATCAGCGCATCAATAGGCATTTTCATGCCTTTTCATGTCTTTCCATGTCTTTCCGTTTGGCTAAAGTCGAAGGTATTCATTCAAAACGTCCTCCTGAAAAAATGCGCCCTGAGGGCATTTCCCTTCAAAGCCAAATTCTTTATAAACATTCTCATATCAATAGCTATTTGTGAACCAAATTTTAGATTGATAACTTCTCTAGAACATGGCTAGAATTAGGGCTAGATTAGGGCATGACTAGAATCACTCATGATCGTCTTTTTATATTACATGAAAATTTTAATGCACTCTTTCAATACTCGTACCTGTCAGGCGGAAGAAAATTAGAGAGCACTACTCACGTAATGAAGACAACCGATAGGAGCGTTTTCCTTTTTTTTTCAAATTCTACCAGTAGAAGGGTCGACTGAATATGTTTATGGTCCCCAGGTCGACCGAATGAAAGCAACTAGGGTTCCAAAGAAGCCAGTTTGGAATTTAGCAGGCCAGGCACTCGAAGAGAATTGTTACGTTTCATTTCAAGCAATCTGCTGTGAAATAAAATACCCCAACAGGAAAGGTGCCTGCCAAAAAAAAAAAACAGAAAGGAACAGCAATAATCGCATTCCATTCGTGAAGCCGTTATAAGGAATCAATTGCTGCAGAAAGTTCGAGAGTGCAGCGAGTCGCAATAGGGGTCGTATTCACGTAAGTTCATTTCATCAGAACATCGACACCAGTATTTTTAAATTTCTCCGCAACTATCTTCCTCAAGTAACGATGTATCAGGTATCAAGTATCCTTGAACTAGAGCTGAAAGTTTTCACTGGCTCGTCGGGGCGCAATTCAAAGGGCCTAAAGGACCCTTACATTTTGCTCCTCTCCAATTTCGATTCTCATCTGGTCCCAGCTGCAGACGACAGTCGCAACGTCACAGCTTCGTCACGTGCTCCATGACGATTTCAATGATTACACAGTCGCGTTAGAAAAGTTATGGAGCCTTAGAATTTCTGAGTCCTTTGAGGTTCACGACACCCACTCGGCTGTTCCGCCTGCATTTGCATTATTTATTTCTCTGATGCTTCGCGGGAATAGGGCAGAGATGGCGGAAGGTGGCGGAATTTACATAACGCCCGACCCGAAGTACAAGACAACGAGGACCCTGTTTCGCATCGTCAGCGCTGTGGATTTCAAAATCTCCCTCATCCCGTACCGCCTCATTCAAGCAATATACGTGGAAGGCATGCGGAACTGCATCGTCTCCTTACGGAAGTACCTGGCGACCAGGCGACAGAAGGAGGTCCATTCCGGTAACCAGCGATGAGAAAATCCCCTTCTAGTCTCAAAATGTGATGGTATCCCATTTTATATATAATCCTACGTCGGTATCTGAATAAAGTTACTTATTCTGTTGATGGAAAATGCATCGGGAAACCGAAGTGGGATATATTGAGGGCGATGCAATGGAATAGAAGCCAGTCGTAATATACGTAATTACGTAATATACCTCAGAAAATTTTTATGTAAATTATAAATTCTGGAAATGATTGCAGTGATGTCCTTTTCAATCGATTTTAGAACCACCATTATGTTCTATTGGTACCAGATCTTCAAGAAAGTCTTGTCGAGAATAAATGCAAATGAGTTGAAAGACACCTGGATGTGTAGACACCTGGATGTGGAGACTTCTCTTTCTGTGACATCCTCGTGGAATCCGCGAGGGTCACCTCCAAGTTAGATGCCTCCGATTTCTCTCTACAAGATGTAAAGTTGTAGAGATTAAGGAGTGGTAGTCACTATTAACATTCAAATGTTCCACCGTAACACACGAAGCTCCGCTGCATTCCGTCAGAGGGCAGAGGCGCTACAGTCTTTCAAAACGGCCTTTAAATATGGCACGCATATGAAACAAAGATATGTGATTGAATTTCTAATGCTGAAAGTGTAGTGCCAATTAATATTCATTTGTTTCCTGTTTATGATGCATTATGTGTCGATGTGAGTACTGTAAGACTGCAAACAGTTTTAAAAGTGGCGAAGCTATCAAGGACAAGCCTCACACTGGACGCCAGGCGACAGCTGCGACTGCAGAGAGCGCTGTCAAGATTGACGAGCTCATCCGCAAGGACCGTCGCAGAACCCGGCGTGAGTCACTCTTGCATTCGGTCACAAAAACCAATTGAAAACCTATTTCGGGGTTGCTCTAAAACGTGCGCGAGATGAGAAGAGACATAGATACAATAGATCTGGCACCCTTACGACCTCCATCTTTTTGATGCTTCGAAGGCAATCTTCGTGGCAAACATTTTGGAGACGACGATGCAGTGAAATGTCCATTTCCTAAATGTGTGCGCAAGGCTTTCAAGTCTTGAAGTCTTGATACGTCATTACACGCAATGGCGTGTAATGACGTATTCAACGTTTGTGAAAAATGTTTTGGAAAGGATGGAGAATTCGTTCTTAAAAAAAAAAAACGAAGGATCACAATATTTATATGCATTCTCTTCGAGCGCCGTCAGGCTGTACATTTTGATATAGGGAGGGGGCATTTGCTTCACATTGCTGGCACAACGGGAAAATGCTTTTGCTGCAACTCACACTTTACCCTGAGGCTCTGAAAGTATTGCTCACTTGTGCTAATGCGACGACGAGGCATTTTCAGGAATCAGTCGCTAGCAACTAACTTCCCTCCGTGCCGTCGAACAAGTTCTTGGAAATGGTCCGTACTGTTTCGGAATCATTGGTGTCTGTACCATGCGCTAACGCTAATAGCCCATGAGCTAATCGGCGATGCAAGAGTATTAAATGTGCTAGGAAGACGAAATCGGCAAAGTCGTCTTGAGTCTCATGATAAACGTGCTAAACCGAGGCGTTCACGATGGCGATTGTGGCAATCAGCTCCAATATTTTGATGATGGTGTTTAGGAACAGAATCTTCCTGTGTACTGTAAGCTATATGTGTATGATGTAATGAAGCGGTTCAGTTCCGAATGGGTAATGCGATGAACAGATATCAAGGAGACGTAATGCTCACAATAGACGCTTCAAATTTCCACCTATTAGTGAATCTTCCTGTGTACTGTAAGCTATATGTGTATGATGTAATGAAGCGGTTCAGTTCCGAATGGGTAATGCGATGTACAGATATCAAGGAGACGTAATGCTCACAATAGACGCTTCAAATTTCCACCTATTAGACGGCCAGCGTAGCGGCCGCAAACCACAAGTATAATAAAATCTACTATGGTCCGTGGTGGTGGTGGTGGTCGGTGGCATGTGCGCGCGCAGACACGCACATCGCGCACAGCGCGATCGCGTGTGCTCACCCACACGCATAGTAATGGTTCACGCAGCGTGGCCAAAGGCCACAAACGTTCAGAATCGTGCGCGACGGGTTGCGACGTCCGCAGATCAGCATGAGGTCGCTAATAAAATCCCACATACCACCTTGTCCCACAAAGCGACGATTCAAAGTTAACGATCTTTGAGCTGCCCTTCGTCTTCGCTCGGCGTCAGTTCCCCTTTCCTTCGCCACGACGATTAACGAAGCGCAGGGGCAGACCTTTGAGAAATTAAGGGTTTTTTAGCCGCGCCCTGGCTTCTCACACGGCTAGCCAATTGGCGGTTGGCCATTGGATCTTGGTCATGGCCATGGCCATGTTCGCACTCATCGCATTTAAATTCTTCCGTGCTTTTGTACAGGCTACTTAAGAAATGCATTCGAATTTCTGAAGCAGTCTGATCATCGATATCCCAGTCGAGATGTCCCGAAAGTTCCAATATTGACGCCTACGGACATAATTAGCCCAGTAAGTCGAGGCTTGAGATCCTTATGAGCCCAAAAAACATATAGGTCTTATCCTGACCTGAGATAGTCCGTGGGTTAAGCACGCTATTGGTATAAGCAAAGGTTCCACAGCCGGTAACACTTCTCTTCGAAAGCGAAATATTTGTTTTTCGACTTAATGATGGTATCGGGTGAAGATCTTTTCCCTTGGAAAATCCTCGCGAGGAAGAAAGGCGAAGTCACGTTCTTGCACGAACGAATCGACGATGACTCGTCGATGAGGCTTCGCAGTATCGATGGGCAGAGATCGCGGTCTAATCGTCCTGTTGTTTTCGGCCTGTGGGCTTGATTCTTCGTCTTTGAGTGGTTGGTGTGCAGTCGTCTGACGACACGTGACTTCCAGTCGCTAGGAATTGAACCGACAGATATTTTCAGGTTCGTTCGACCCGGGCTTAAAATTCCAGGCCGGAATTTAAATTACTCATCGAGGGAAAGAGATTTCTTCGAGGTCAATTTTAGATGGATTCACGACGGGCTCTTAGTCGAGTGGGTTTTACTCAACGTGAGGGATAAAATCTCACTGCCGACACCCTAAGATTCCTAATATTCTCGGTCGTTTTGGTGGCTTCCTGCTGAGACGTCTGAAGCGAATAAATAAAGGAACTCCAAACCTGGGCCACGCCGTTCTCGGTCCTCGCGGGACGACAAAGTCGCCAGGGAAATTTGCTCCAGCGACCTCCACCCGCCGGGCGGGGGGGCCGGAGACGACCTGAGGCTCCCCTTCAGTCGCGTCTGAGTCCTCGTCGGTGTCGGGTGCTCTCGTCTCGGGTGCTCTCGTCTCGGGTGCTCTCGTCTCGTCGGCGAAAAAATATTGTGACAATGTCCATACGTTCGCGCCAGAGCGCAACTTGGTAGTTGAGGAAACGCTAGAGGATGTTTCTTTCGGAGTGTTTCCTTCGAAGGGCATCATGGGTGAACAGAGGTTTTCACCGTTGGGAACCGTGAGCTTAATACCGTAATAAGTTTAATATCATAAGTAATTGTCAGAGCAGTGCAAATATGTCTCATCCTGTAGTGAAATCGGGCGCGACTCATGTACTGTATACCCAAGACGTACGTCGAACTTCCGATTACCACTTGCACCCTAGATTTTCGCACCGCACTTCCCCAAATGTGAATTGGCACTGTGAAGTCTGGAGATCTAAGCCGGACACTGCTTCCGATCTCGATAATTTTCTTCGTCAGTGGAAACAAGAGAGATGAAGTCGACATTGGCCCTGGAGTTCATTCTCCGGACGATCCACTTCCTCCAGGATCTCACACTTTTCCCAGATCTTCCCATTCCGGCCAACTCCTCTTCGCTCGTCCAGGTAAAACGCTCAATGGCTCGCACCCCCAATGAGCGAATGCACGATTCGTCTGGTGATATTACTCAAGACGGTATCGTTCGATTTTATATGATAACAGAACTCGATAATGAGGAGCACATCCAGAATATTTTTCTCGTCACTTACCCTACCCACTTACTTACCTACTTACCCCTCCTACTAATGACCGCTCGGCACTTCATTTGAGCCCACACGCAGGGCAATAATACGGAAATGTCAAATAATACAGGAACTTGAGCTCGTTTTAGTTTATTTCGAGGGTAAGGAAACCTGCTGTCGGTTCTCTCGACGATTAAAGCGTGGGAAACCACCCCGGAAAATAAAAAAAATGTCAAAGGATTGGCCTGTGGCGCTTCAGATTCGCTCTAAAAGATAATGTTATTCAGTAAAAAAAAAAAACTATAGAAATTTTATTTCCCAGACTTCCGTGTTTTTTTTTGTTTCTGGCTATAATTCTTTAAAATATCGGCTCATCTGTCTCAGCCTCTATTTACTGGTTCTGCGCTAGTCGTGAAGACATTTTGAATAATGTCGGAAGCCATTTTTTTAAAGGTATTTTTAAGGAAAGAATAGCAGAGCGAGCTTTCAAGTCTTCAATATTCCCGGTTCGTTTCCATTCGGCTTCCTTGCCCTGCAAGCATACAGGGCACGAAGGCCAACGCGGCGAAATGCCAAACTTCGAGCAGACATACAGCAGACAAAATGCATCGGATTCTCTCAGACACCATTGGCGTAGAGTATCCCGTGCTTCCCTCGGTTGTCCCCTGTCTCCCCCCCCCCCCCCCCCCCACCCCCCCCTACTCCCCTCCCCCCTCCTCCCTTCAATTTCTCCATCTATTTCTATGCAGACACAGGACCCCTCCAGCCACATATCCCCCATGCCTCCTCACTCCTGGGAAGAGAAATGCGAAAGCGAAGGGGAAAGGGGGATCAAGAAGCTGCGCTTCAACCTAGAGAGAAAGGACTGGAATCTGGAAAAAGATTACGGCGAGGAACTCATCATCGTCAAATCTGCATACGATCAAGAGACCAAGACAAATCTCCTGCTTACCGAGGTTGTCATTACTTCCCCCCCCCCCCCTTCGATCGGTGTGGGGTGGGAGACTCCCATCAAGGCTTTGTACCTGAGGGGATGAGATGAGCGTCTCTCCCTCTCTCTGGGCGTCCGTGCAACTACGTCTCAGTCGTGGCGTTCCGAATGAAGTCTGAAAATTTCCCGCGTATCTTCTATGTGATAAATTTTACTGTGGTCCGTGGTGGCCGTGTTTGTGGTCGGTGGCACGCGCGCGCACACACACGACACACGCGTGCCCGAGGCACGACCGCGTGTGCTCTCAAGAGCCATAACAGTCGATTCGCGCAATTTGGTCGAAAGTCGCTGTCGTTCGGAAACGTGCGCGGCGGGTTGCGACGTCCGCACGAGGCCTGTGTAAGGTGACGTCTTCATCTTCGGGTTGCATTTCGTCTTCGCTCCGCGTCAGTTCCCCGCCTTTGCCACGACGATGAACGAAGCGCTGGCGCAAACCTTTCAGAAATTAGGGGTGTCTTTCCTGTGCCCTATCTTCTCGTATGGCCAGCCAGTGGCGGATCTAGGGGGCAGGGGCCGGGTCATGTCTAAGGTCGTGTTCACATTCATTGCCCCAAAATTCATGCTTTTGCACGGGTCACTGACTCGTCTAATGAAATTACGCGAGTATTGCCATGAGAGGATGTTTCTACGTTATCGAAATCGTGACTCACTCGATGCCATTTGTTTGCAACGTGCATCGTCACTGCAAACGTGCCTATTTCCGAGTCGATATGCGTCGAGAATCGCGAGCAGAATCTCCTTGGGCTTCTCACTCGGTGTGCATGACTCGAAGGGTCGTTCCGGAGGACGGCACTGACTGAGATATGCGGGGAGATACATCGGCGAGACGACATTGCTGGCGATCGAGAGCAGTAATCCGCACACTCAGCCGATCATGCAATTACCCACAGAGAGAGAGAGAGAGAGAGAGAGAGAAAGGCCAAATGAATGAATTAACGTTATTAAAGCCTTTCCGCATTCAGGTGAATAGCACCGGATCCCCATCCGGCTAGTTACTTTCCATTTTCGCCTCAGAAAAATCTCGCTCTTCCTTTTCGATCGATGAGTATGCCAAAACGTTACTTAATATTTGTCCTCAAGACAGTAGGGGCAAAAGTGCAAGGAGGCGATTAATCGCTCGTGAAGTGTGTTAGATGGGACGACTAACGTCTGTACGTTCGCCTCATCCCGTAAATGAATTAGCAAGGCTATGTTCAAATTCCAGTTTCTTTATGGGAGAAAGACTTTAGTGTTCACTTATTAATTAACTATTAGTTGCACAGAAGCAGGCGGAAGTTACTCCCGCAGGATATGTCATATTTGAACTAGTAGTGGCGCCGATCAGAGGTACAACCAGAATGAAAAATCCTGCGATGGAAGGCGCCCTTTCCTCAGCATTCAATTCCTCAAAGTTACAGAAATTCATTCATTTTAAAATCCTTCCATGCATTGATTTCCCTACAATGCGGAGAGAAACCAAGAAAATCAAGTGACTCCAGGCGAAAACTTCTCCGGGAAACGGGCGAGCGACTGCCCTCCATCCACCTCGAAGCCTTCAGGATCCTTCCACGAAACAAGCCTTCCCGAATGGGCCATGGCGGATCTCGGGGAAGCCGACTGGAGGACGACGAGGGGACTCCGCGTCGGAGGGGGTCGGTCCCTCCGGCGTTTCGCAGCGTTGAAAAGCGCCGACCGATTCATTCGGTGGTGGACTTGATCCCATCGAAGACTGCTGCTGGAAGGCATCGAAGCGTATCCATCCATAAAAATTTTTGGGAAAAGGCAAAATCTGGAAAAATCTGACGATTTTGGGAAACGACAGGGACGTACTTTCCAAGCAGTACGCTGAATAGTATCAAGTCCGAGCCGCATACCCGTGCATCGTTTCTTCCCCTCTTGCAAAAAGAAATCTTTCATCAAACCATTTATAAAACGGAATACGAACAGCGTCAGACGACCAGCAGAAGCACAGAACCTGCAGACCATGCGACACGTGCGTGAGAGGAACGTGCCTTTCGACGTGAGAGGAACGTGCCTTTCGACGTGAGAGGAACGTGCCTTCGACGTGAAAGGTCCGGCTGAAAAGGCGCACTCGAGGCGAAGAGCGCATATCTCCAGAAGGGTCAGGACATCTTAAGATCACCACGATGTGCGACTGACGACATTGTTATCACGCAGTTCTCATTCAGATAAATTGCGCTGGATCATCTCCAAGCCGGCAGTTTCTAAGCGTCCTTCGCGAGATTTTATCAGAATGAAAAGCAACGTCATGTAATGAGTAGCACACCGCTCCGGTGTGCTCCTCATCATCCGTAATACTGACTTTTCCGGTGAGTGATGAGTGGCTCTTTCAATCTCCATGGAGAGCCATTGGATGAATATTTCATTTAGCCATTTGAGTCGAAAAACTCGTCTCGAGCTCGATTAGGGGCAGAGATAGCCGCTTGGCCCACTTCTCCCCCCGTGGGGTTAACTTTGAGGCAAAATATCTCGAGAACCGATTTTTTCTTATGGAGGGAGCTCATCATGCAGGAATTTTCTCAAGCAAATCCCTCTCGGACGCGCAACGGAATTTGAGAATGCCTCTTAAGCGATGCGGATTTCGAAGGTAAGGTCGAGGCGAATCTCGGAGAATTGGAAACCATTCGTTCAAAATGCGGAAATCACAACCGCGTAGTCATTCGTGCATGCAAGAATATCAGCGACTTGGAGTAGAATCGGAACGAAGAGCAGCAGAGGATCATCAAGATAGAATTAAACGTAAAATAATCGCCTCTCAAAAATGGATGAAAAATGCTTTCTACAGGGGGTTCCGAAAGTTTCTCACACACCCTCACAAATTGTGGGCAAATGAAAACAAAAAAATCCGGCCTATCTGCACTGGCTAAGCGATCCGGGCCATCTCCCCAAGGAAAGGCTGATGCAGAACGGAGCCCCATGCCACACCCGCAACACCTGTGCCACAGGTTTTGTGGTCAAATACGTCAGCACGATAGTCTCGTCTCCATCTTCATTTTTCAATGTGTAAAACGTGTCGAAGGACTTTCATTTTACAGGGAATTCTCTCAGATTCCAACCATTCGATGTTCAATGTTCGTTGGGAGTTCTGAAATCGGAAGCACTAGCTATTTAAACGTTTTGCAATTTTGAATAGCGGTTCTGCGATTTTTTTTTATCTTTGTATTTGAATTCAAGGCGAAAAAATGCCGTCTTAAATCATTTTCTTTCTCAACTCCAGACGTGAAAAACTCTCCATCCAAAGAAATGCCCTCAGATGGAGTCCTCAACAACGGCAATTTCTCGAGAAATCTCTCGAGAGGAGAGTAAGCGGATTTCGAATATCAATTGGTACACTGTAAAAGCTAAAAAAAAAAAAATGGAAAGAATTTACCGCTCCAAATCGTTTTAAACTGGACCGGAATTTTTTTACTTCTGTAGACTGCTCTTCGCAAAAATCCTGGGAAGCTACTATACGTATATTGCAAAATGTATATAATTTCCCAGTAATTTCCGCTATGAATTGGGAAAATCTTGTGTACGGCCCAAGACTTGGAGTTTCTGAGCGATTTAAAGTGATTCTTACGGGCAGAATTTTTCACAAATAAAGTTTTTTTAATTTACATTGTGTCTTGCTAGGTTCGAGGCACCACCTCAGCTCTCTAACTGATGCCAAGTCAAAAAAATGGTCTTATGAATTAAAGGCATCACCAGAAAGGCAGCCAGAGGAAGGTGTAGAGTAACGGACACGACCTCGGAAGACTCACCCGCCCCCCTTACGGTACAAAATCACGACGCGTAGCAGGTTGCGTGGACCCTGGCTTTCACTTTCAGGGAGAAGAGGAAGCTCGACCCGATCTGGGCTTGATGGATGTTCACAGTCCCCGCGTTCAAGGCGATCGAGATGGGAGGTTCTCTCTTCGTCGTCCTTGGCAAGATGCGCCTCACGTTTCTTCAGTATCATCATCGTGCCATGGTGGGCATCGTCGCCTCGTTCGCTTTCAACGAGTACGATGTAACTTATTTATATTATGCTGCAATGAACGCTGGAATACATGCACTCTTGTACATACATTAAAGACCCGTCGGTGCTCATATTCCCTTGTCTCTACCTCTCCCCAGATTTCCCAATCCCTCTTCGCCATCTCTCTGCAAAACCTGTCTGCTTCCACATCCTCTTTGGGTACAGTTTCCAGTTGACTCTCTTCTCTTACATTGCAAATTTCTTTATGTCACGTTCTCTGTTCTCTTTGTAGACTTTTCCGGGACGAAGTACCGCGTTGGCAACAAAAGCCACGGCGATATCGAAAAAGTGCTCACGATTCGGAACAATATGGCGTCAAGTCGAGTCAAGCGTTCTTTCGCATTCTTGGAATAATGAAAAAATAAGACAGTGAAGAATGACTCGACCATGTTCCGGTCTGCAATAATCAAACCTTAAGGCAATTTTTGAATGAGATGAGGTACTTCAAATTAAATCTCATTTAACCAACATTAACTCAGACTCTTGTGAATCGGCTCATCCATCTATTTCATTTAAAATGGAATGTGTGCTGGGCAACTTAACATCTCAGCGACACTTGCTATATAATTGTTCACAACGGGAAGAATTGTGTCCTAGAATCCAAATATTCTCCACTAAGATTAAAATTCTTTGACTTGAAGAGAGCTTATGATTTCCCTCATGCTTCCTCATTCAACAGCGTTTTTCTCTCGGCACTTCTTGTTCCCTTCCTCGTTCCCAGCAATCGTCGCCACCGTCTCCCGCAGGCAGCGATGACGAGAGCGATTGCGTCAGGTGGAAATTGTTGATGGGAAACGTCGCAGCGGTTTCTTTGCTTCTCCGGCGTGAAATGTCACGGTGACTCTCGGATTCTCCGCATTTGAGGTTTTGTGAATGTGCTCAGAATTCTGCCTTTGGTTCATGACTCTTCCTCGGCACAAAGCCGAGAGACCCCATTCACAATGTTTTCCTCTTGTGAACGAATCAGCCTTTCCTGCGGAGGAAAGCTCGCTTCATACGAGAAACAGATATGAAACATCGGTTTGACGTTCGCTTATTTGTTTTCC